AAAAAAAGGACCACAAATAAAGTAGCGGAGCAAGTCACGACCAACCTATGGTCGGAGGACCAAAGTAAGTCACGACCAGTTAAAAAAAAAATGATAAAATAAAGGTGTATGTGAGATATGCAAATAAAAAATGTAATTGAGAAAGATCACACTTTTGAAAATGAAGGAAAAAAGTGGCATTGATATCTTCTAAAGTGAATATTCTCTAAAGATTTCGCAATTGAAAAAGAAATTAAAATATGCTTTGCTTACCTACCGGCTGAGAAATTGTGTGCTTAAACTACGTACATTTAAAATAATACAAATTATGCCATAGGTGTGTATATATATAATATATATATATGTGTGTGTGTGTTGCTATATATGCATGCATGGAAGCAAATTAAGTGCTTATTAGAGAGAGAGAGGAATTAATTAAGGGGATAATATGAAATCATTAATAGACATGAAATTAAGGTCGGCCGCGTTTATCGTTATCCTGTTGGCGGTGGCTTTAGTGGCGGATGAACTCAATGAATGCAAATAGTTGTGTGAAGGTGATTACTTGTGCGGAATTCATTGCAATATGGCATTCATATTGCAATTAGTTCCGTTTCAGAGCAGGAATTTTGACAGCATGTGGCATTCATATTGTAATTAGTTCCGCACAAGTAATCGCCTTCACACACCTGTTTGCATTCATTGAGTTCATCCACCACTAAAGCCACCGTCAGCAGGATAACGATAAACGCCGCCGACCCTAATTTCATGTCTATTAATGATTTCATATTATCCCCTTGCAAGATTTATGCTCTGAAGCGTGTAACCCTACTTGCAACGGAGAAGTTGTCAAGAAGCCTAATTGTAAAGCTTAATATATATATATATATATATATATATATATATATATGAATTTGTTTGCCTCGTGTTATTTGAAATATTCCACTCTATCTTGTCATCTTATTTCACAATAATAATATTTGAATTTGAATTCCACAGTACTATGTCTTATATATATATATATATATATATATATAATATATATTATTTTTTTTGGCTTCTAACTATTTATAGTTTGTAATGCCGATGCATGGGTCTTCAATATATAAACAAATAGATTTATAGTATTTAATATTCATTTACTTTATTTTTAAATTATTGGTGGAGATTGATCGATCCATCATGGCTATTCTATCAAAGATTCAAAGATCTACCAACTGGAGTTGACTCAAGTGGTAAGCAGCTTGATGCCGCTTAAGCAAGGTCTCGAGTTCGAGTCCTTGTGGATGCAGAAAACCCTTGTTGGGAGACTCACCAACCACTGCCAGATGTGCGACACGAGTCGACCAACGGATTAGTCGGACATAGCTCCGGATACCGTGACTGGCTACAAAAAAAAAAATGATTCGAAGATCTAAAACTATCAAATTAAGACTTTCAGTTTATGTTAGTTTGAGGCTCGAAAGATTGGTTAATTATTCATTTGGGACTTGACATATAATATATATATATATATATATATATCTAGTGACGGGTTTTGAAATTTTACTCAGGGGGCCCGAATTTTTAAATGTTAAATAATGAGTTTGTAAATTAAATCGAAACATTCATTTCATATAAAAATGTATTTGCTATAAATACAAATTTAGATATGTATACCATTAAGTTTTTAAGAACATAGAATCAATATCACTCTCAAACTTTTTAAAAAAATAAACAAAAAAAAAATAAGATTTCATGTATTATTAAATTTAAGTTCAACATCTATAATTTATCATAAAACAAGTTTTTTGGTTGAAATTTGGATTTAAATTGAACTTTTGCGCCACATTGCATAACATTTTTGTTGATGAGAGTTTATCAAATGAACATTTATTTTAATAAAGATACGTGATGACAAAAAAAAAAAGGTAAAAAAAATCAATATTAAAAAAATGTAACAATCCAACTAATTAATAATCGATTTCATAAATCACTAAATCAATTTACAATTAAGAGGCCGAAAAAGAATGAGAATGGTTAGGATTGTTACATTTTTTTAATATTGATTTTTTTTACCTTTTTTTTTTTTATCTCTTCCTTATTTATTGTTTATCAAGTTATTATCTCTTCCTTATCTATTGAGTTGGTTAGGATAATCTTCTATCTTGATTAGAAGAATATTTATTTCTTGTTTATCAAGTTAGAAGTTCTATTTATTATTAGTGTTTGATGGAATAATGGATCAGTTGAATATTGAATGAAATAAGATATCGTGTTTTCTTTTGGGAGAGTATCCCGTGTTCTGGAGAGAGTATCTCCTTGTATCTTTTATCTTCACGTTCGTTTCACGCTTTCCCTACATCAGTTGGTATCAGAGCCAGCCCATGTGCCAGCGGTGACCGCTGGGCCCACAAGGGGGGTGGATGATGCAGCGCATCCCACATCGGGTTTGAAAGGAAACGAAGCAGGACTTATATGAGGATGTGGATACCTTCACTAGTAAGACGCGTTTTGGTGGGTGTGTATTGAAGCCCAACCAAGAACAAAGCCGTGCGGGTGGCGGAAGTAGCCCAAAGCGGACAATATCTTACTAGGGTCTGCACCATGAGGTACACCTGAAAATACTTTCTACATTATCTACTCATTTTATACATCTATCTACTTACACAACACTTTATCATCTTCTTTTCTTCCCATATATTGACTTGAGTGTCAGAGTACTATGCCAGGAACCTCCACGACACTTGTCTTGTAGGTCATCAATAGCTCAGGGACAATCGGAGGTCTTTCTCAATCGGTTCACTCCAAACCAAGAGCTCCGACAAATCATTTGGCATCATCTGTGTACAGCTTTTGAAGGAACTAAGAGCTCTCTCTCACAAGATTTTGATCACTTGAGATGGCTAACAAAGAAGCAATATAGAGGAACCTATCGGAGGATTTCAGAAGAGCATGGACAGATAAACGATCTCCTTTGGCCCCAAGCCCCCAAAACCTGTTATTTTCATGATGGGGTTGACATCATTGAAGAACCACGCGCCACTAGATGCGCGTCCAGAGGATATGATCCAAGAGGGGACCAATCGAGTTCCACCGTTAACCCCTAGTAAAGAGGAGGAGAGTGTAGGAAAGGGTCAGGGGTGTTACAAAGAAAGTTGAGGGAATGCAAAGACATGAAGGAGAAGGAGATGCCTCACCCCAGACACAACGAGCCCGAGCTGAGGATAACCAGGTGAAGGTGATCAGCCTCACTTGAGCGAGTTATAGAAAATGATTGTGAAAGTTGTAGCTGCGAGGGTAGACCATACACAGAACACGCACTCAACCGAGCAGCATGACACCACAAACAAGAAGGAAGGTGACGAGGTGTCATCAATCAAACCACTCACTCGCAACAAACAAAGGAGAACACAATGGAGAATAAACTTAAAATAACTTAATTGAGAATTAACTTAAAGTTAAGATCCTTAATTAAAAAGGTTAAAAATTCAGACCTCATTGTAACACAAAACGAAAAATTCAAATCATGAAATTTCCCTGATTCTCGTTTTGATACATAACCATTTACTATTGTTCTGTTAAGGTCAACTCCAGCTATAATCCAAAGCACAATATCCTTAGTTACAATTTTGCATCCAAAATCTAATACAATAATAGACAAGTTTGTAATGACAATTATCTCCAGGTAGGTTCACTTAAAAGTTAAAACCGACCAATAATAAAGGGATCATCTGAAAATCATGTGGTCTGAATTCAACTTGGTAGAATCAGAGTCAACGGCTCGATTTGATCTGTGTGATGCCTTGTGATCCAAGAATAAGAATTTCTCACTTTAATCATACTTGATCTTCGGATCAAGCATTTTCGTCCGGGCCCGGATAAGCTGGCAAGCTCATGATCCGCTTATCAACCACCGGGCCACCAACAGTAAAATGATAAAGGCTCTGAAATTTCGACCCTTTAAACCCAAGAACCTCGTGCACTGCAAACATTTTCCGGAAAAAATAATAATCAGCAAAACACAAATTATTCAAACAAAGTTGATCGTCATATTCTTTCATTTCTGTAAGCAAAATATCTGGCTATAGCGTACTCGTAAAGCTGTTCTTTTCCAAAAAGCTTCAAGAGAAGAATGAGAAAATCGAGTCATATATAGCAATAAGCCTCTGAATGAACCTGACCAGGACAAACTGAATGATATGGGCCATTTTGTTGATGAAAATGGAAAAAAGATTCAGAAAAGGCATGATGATGAACGTGATGATATGCAAAGGCATCGTGAGAGGACAATATTTTTAGTGGCAACATAGAATGGATCACCATTTGCTTTCCTTGAGATAGTGTTATTTTAAGTTCTATCAAGAGTGCCTTTCCAAAGATGATTCTAAGGCTATGTTTGGTAACCAAATAAGCTATTTGGTTAGTTTATAAGCTTTATGTACTCAAATAAGCTTTGTTTGGTAGGACGAGCTTTTTTAATAAGCTCGAGTTTATTTCATAAGTTTCTTCTTTGAGTAGCTTTTCAAATAACTCAGGTTATTAGATAGTTTTACCAAGCATAGCCTAAATATTTTATCTGCAAGGATGGTTATGTAATTCCATCTAAATTAATGCAATACGTTCGCATTCACATAAATGAGTGTGGTGATTTCATTTTCATTCAGAACTAATTGGAACTTTCTTCTAATACCACATAACTAGATACTCGCCCCATTCTCTGTCAAACATTCAAATTTACTCTGAGGGAGAATATATATAAAGTAAAGTGTGAACTCCAGTTTTCAGAATCACACTGTTGTTTTCAGCTTCAAAGCCGATATGCAAACACACTTCATTTTTTGCAGTCACACTTGACCAAAAAAAAAAAATCCAAAAACTTTATTAATTATTTCATGTTTAGGCATGGTAAAAGGAATAAATCACATACCTGGATCATCAAAAAAGCATCCAATTCCAGTAGCAGAAATTCCAACAGCATGTGCTTCGAGATACAGAACTTGCCCAAGCACCCCAGTTTCCCAAAATAGCCTTGGGTACATCCAAGCTCCCTTTTCACACAGAGGGATCTCGAGACGTGCCACCATACCAAGGCTGAAACACCCATCAGAAGCAATGTCCTATATAATAAACATCTATAGTTAGACGCACAAAAGCAACCTCATGGAATATCATCCACTTTAAATAAAAAAATTTCTCCATTTAAACTATGATACAAATGAAATTACATTAGCTCTCTGAAGTGGATCCATGATTAGAAAGTACCTTGTTCATATATCGCGTTCTATCTAATATGGGCTTTTTATTTTTAATTTTCCCTAAATTGCTACCAAACAACACAATATTATATATTAGCATCGACTTGGTATCTATACAAAACGCCAACATATGACACTGCATGATAAATCAACAACTAAGTGTACCTGGTGGCATGAAATCCGTTCTGAAAGCTTGCAAAAAGCACCTCGTGCGAGTTCGTACAAAGGAAGATCCTCCGGGCAGCCTTCAGGCTTCACCCACTCCAATTCTTGTCTAGTAGCTGTCTTAAGCTCATTAAATTGGTTCTCATTCCTTACCAGAAAGTACAATCCACTAGGCAAACCAATAACCCTATGTACAAAGATAGCACAATGCACTTCAGAATCCCAAGGCAAAGCTCGAAAAGGTAAAGCCAATTGCTTCCCTTGCTTCTCTCGACTATCTTCATAACCCGTAGGCATACAATGTAACATAATCTGAAAAAAAGTTTCTTTTGTGATTTTTGTAACACCATCCATAGCTACTGCACTCCTTCGTTTTCTCACCAACTCGTTTAGACTCAAAACTTTGTAAGAACTCTCGCTAATTATCCGGCTACTTTTAAAAGGCTTTGAAATCACTTCTTTAGTCACATTTAGTGGTTTCTTTACAGCCTCAGCTGTTCTATAGATAATATCCCAACACACATGCGATTTGCTAAGCATATTTGGTTTTCCTTCCCAATCAAGATTGGAAAATTCGAATAGAGCCCCCTTCACTTTCTCATAATCCACCTCGAATTCCTCCGAACCTTTAGGAAAAACCAACAGCACGCAATCGGGATGCTCGAACTCAATCTCGGGCATTTCACCTCTCATAGGCCTGCTGGGAACAGCAAATTTGGGAAATTTTTCTAAACCCATCAATTTTTCCAGCTCATTATATCCGAACCCGTCTAAAACCCTAACATCCCATCCAAGCCCAGCTGCAGCCATGGTGACAGCTGCTATCGCGTGCCCCACGTCGTGATTACAGTACCTAAACGCCCTCTCGCCGTACTTCCACGCTTCCCGCCAGAAAATAGACGACAGTCCGATTAAGAAGAAGTTCTCTGGAAAGGAGCCATGGAAGAACCCAGATGGGATCCGAGCCCTGAGCTCGAGCGCGTGCTCCTTCGGCGCGTAGTGGGCGACGAATGCTTGGTCGGAGAGGGATTCGACGGCTGGCGAGATGATGTAAGCCTCCGTCGGGTGCAGGTTGCCGCTGCTGGGGTTCACGCGCAGCGACCACGTCGAGAATCCGGTGGTCTTCCACGCGGACAGGGCGAGGGAGTTGTAGAAGAGCTGGGAGATTGTGGTTTTGGAGATCGGCTCCGGCGGAGGGAGGGCAGTGTACAGGGAGGTGTAGAGAGGCGGCGGATTATTCAATCCTTCGCCAGAGGAGGGGTGGAGGAGGGGGAGGAGAGGAGCGGCGAGGTAGCGGCGGAAAGGGTTGGGCTGGTTAGCCCAATCAAGGCCGTGGGGGCCACGCGAGTAGCTGGCGAACCCGTGCTTGGTCTGGTCGTGGTATCTCAGCACCTGGGTTAGGAGCTCCTGTTGGTCGACGGCGGCTTCCGGCCGCGATGACGTAGACATGCTGATGAAAGGGACCAGCTTTCTGGCGGCGGTTGTGGGGGGTAGCGGTTGAGAGAGGTGGCGGTGGATAGAGCGTGGGAATCGGTAGTGTGTGAGGAGCATATTTAGCAGCAGCTTGTGTGAGAAGGAGTCCCATCTCCATTGAAGGGGATGAGGTGTCTTTCTGGTTTGAGAAGCTTTTGGAATGTTCACCACAAAACTCAAAACTCAAAAGTGTTTATTTAATTTATTTCTTTAAATTAAATAATAATAATATCTCCAAGAATAAGAGAATTTGAGAATTTACCATAGCTAATTTTATTTGTTTTTTTTTTTCGATTACAATAACATTAACCATCAAGGGAGAGGTAAGCTCTAACTGTTACAAAAAGAGGGGATAAAAAAGAAGGGAGACAGTCCTTCCACAAGACGGATACCGTCGTCGATAAGGCCCGCTTAGCTAACTGGTGGGCAACAATATTATGATTCCGCTCTATATGACAACAAGACCCACAATTGAGATTTGACAAAAGCGATAAAATGTCCACAAAAACTTGATGCAAGGGCGAGAGCTCACACAGACCACAAATAACTATTAGGGCATCTGTTTTAGCATATTGAATTGAAAAACCGAATCGTGAGCAAAACGCAATCCAAACCTGAGAGCTAGAGCTTCGGCTACAACTGAAGAAAAAGAACCTGGAAGAGTAATTTCAAAAGCCGCCCAACACACACCTTCTGAGTCTCCTATCCAACCTCCCAATCCAATAATCGAATCACGGACCGTTGCGTCGCAAAATAATGTAAGTCCATTGTGACAATTCCCACAACCAACCCACCTATCGATAGTTGATGTGAACAGGGCACGTTCTAACATGGAGCGCCCTGAATGTGATTTATAGGCCTCCTCTTGCCACATAAGCCCTATTGTACAAGCACGATCCACTGCTCTAGCTTTGAAATCGTGTATGATGCGATTCCTTTCATTCCAAATAATTCATAACAAATAAGCAAACCTTGGGAAGTAGCACTAGTTTGGTTGTATACTCTGGTTAGTCAAGGGCTCTCGAGCACTAGTTCAGCTCGACTTATTTACAATTTTAAAAACTTATTCTTCATTAAAAGTAAATGGTCACTAAAAAATTATCTTTTTTACATGAAATATTAACTTCAAATTAAAATTAATAAAATAATATTACCTTAATATATTAATTTTAAAAAAAATGGGTGAAAGTAGTGCTATTGATTTTTTTTTTTTAAATATATGAATATATTATTAAAATATGAAAATGAAAATGGAAGGTGAATAGTACAGATATTTAACTTAAGGAAATGTGAAAGGAAGCAATTAGGAATAAAATATAGGTTTTTAATTAATATAACAATATATATATACCTTAATAAAGGGAAAAAAATTACTGCTAAATAAGACATTCTCATTCTTTATTTTTGAAAGATATCTATACTTATATAAAAAGTCATCCCATTTATTAGAATCTATAATTACATTAAAAGAATAACATTTTAGAAGATTCCCACCATATTTACCCGCCATTAATCTAGATAAATTCATTCGCCGCCATATTTGCCCGCCGTTAATTTAAATAAATTCTTCCGCCAAATTTTTTGTGTCCTAAACAAATAGTAATTGTCTAACAATTTTGATATATGTGAAACAAATCACCTGATTTATTGGTTAGAGATTATTTGAACTCTTCCCTTTTTTTTGTATCAATACTGTTTTGTGTTGAATTGTTTTATTTTTCCTATTTCAGCACAAATGTCTGTACTAAAATCCTGCATGTGTACACATAAATTCTCCCTTCTTTAAAAAAAAAATAATTTTCACTCATCTAAATACTAATATTTTTTAACAATTATTAACCTTTATAATATTTTAGATATTTTAAACATTAGACAAAGACTAAGGAGCTCTATATATATATATATATATATACATATATATACAACAACAACAAAACATTTTAGTTCCAAACAAATTGGGGTATGCTAGAGATGAAACCCAATAGAAACAGTGGAAAAAAAATGATTGGAGCAAAAGAGAAAGGAGAAAGGAGCAAAAGTCACGGTTCCGGCACGTTGATCGCTAGCCTCCAAGCGCTCCTATCCACCGCTAAATCCTTAGAGATATTCCAATTTTTAAGGTCTCTCTGAACCGACTATTCCCAAGTGAGTTTAGGCCGACCTCTACCTCTCTTAACAACATCGGCCCGCTGTAGAACTCCCCTACGCACCGGTGCATCAGGAGGCCTCCGTTGGACATGTCCGAACCACCTCAGCCGATGTTGAACCAATTTCTCCTCAATTGGAGCCACCCGACCCTATCTCGAATATCCTCATTTTGGATTCTATCCCTTCTTGTGTGCCCGCAAAACCAACGCAACATCCGCATCTCTGCTACACTTAGTTGTTGGACATGTTGCCTTTTTGTAAGCCAACATTCAGCACCGTATAGCATCGCCGGGCGAATCGCCGTCCTATAGAACTTACCTTTTAGCCTTTGTGGCACCCTCTTATCACAAAGAACGCCCGAAGCTTGACGCCATTTCAACCAACCGGCTGCAATTCTATGCATAACATCTTCATTAATGTCGCCATACTTTTGTAGCATCGATCCTAAATACCGGAAAGTCTCCTTCTTGGTCACCACTTGCCCGTCAAGGCTAACGTCACCATCATCATGAGTAGCCATGCTGAAAGCGCACGTCATGTACTCGGTTAAACTTAAGTATTTTTTGACAGATTTTCCGTAGTTTAGCAAGTGGCTTCAAAAAAATTTCAAGAATAATATACAATATTGTATATACTTTTTATATATAGTTATAAGAAGAAATGTATAATTAAATATTGTCTTCAATTTTTATCTGAATATTAGTTATATATATTTGTTACAGTTTACATTAATCTCTGAGTTGTATTTGTAAACTTAATAAATCTGCATAAAACGTGGAATTATTATGTGTACAAAATTTCTTTTTAACGATAACAAACTTATAAAAAAAAATAATAATTTTGAAATATTATGTACTCAAATTTTGAGAAGTACCGTCATAATTTGGGATCATGTCAATATTTATTTTATATATACTAGGTAAATTTTCTCTCAAAAAATTTATAATATCTTTATTTAGGCTTATAAAATTTTAGATACTTTTATATAATATTTTATCATATCATATTATAATTACATATATATATACGCACATACACACGCACATACACACACACGCATATATATATATGTATATATATATATATATATTAAACTTAAATATTTTAGACATGTTTTTTTCCAAAATAGTTTAGGAAAATTGTAAGTATCTTCAAATCTATAAATATATAAAAATACAACCTATTTACAAAAAATATTAATATAAAAATCAACCAACATTTAACGCATTCCAATTTCAACATTTTTTTTTATTTTCTTTTAATCTTAACCCAAAAAATCGGTCATCCATAAATGCACCATAAATTGATGGGTTTTGTTGATGTATTTTTTGAAAATTTCAGATATCAAAATCCATTCTCATTTAAATAAAAATCAAAATATGTTCTCATTTTTTATTCAAAAAAACTAATTGAAAACAATTAAGTCTCATTTCGAATATAAATTTTAAATTTTAAATCCCTTATCATTGAGTTGCCATAAAATCGGCCTACATTTATTGCATGCCGGTGGTTTTTTTAATTTTTTAAATTTATTAACCCCAAAAATCGATTAATCTTAAATGCACCCTAAAATGATGGGTATTGTAGATTTAATTTTGGTAGATTTCGGTAGTATTTACGATTTTCTAAAAATCAAAATCCTTTCTCAATTTACTTCGAAAAATCTGGCTGAAATAAAAATTGGCTGAATGAAAATTTTCAATTAGAAAAAATACAATCACATATTCTCATATGAATGAACTTCCTATTAAACTACTGTAATTGATATATTTTTGTTCTTTTTTTTTTGCACTATAAAATTCGAATTAACTATAGATTATCAAGAAAGACATTTTACAATATTCAGTTATATTTTGCTATGCAATCTTCATAAAACAAAACAAGTATAAATCATATAAGATATATCCTACTAAATAATTTAATTGATTCATTTAAGCTTGTCTAGAATCTTAATATATGTAACCTTCACAGCCAGCTTTATGCATATTTCACGCGCTACGAATCTTAAGTGTTTGAAAATTTTAATTTGTGGCGGTAGACGATTTAACAAAAAAGCAAACAAATAATGTTGTATACAAAAATGCGTTTATTAATATATAAGTTACATTTTGACTTATTCTAATATATGTGTTTTATGTTTTTCATTCATCCATCTAATCTAAATGCTTACCATAATAAAACTAGTCCGTGCATCGCACGGGTACCACACTAGTTAGTAAGAAGAAAAGATGGTACCGATTCTATTGTTGTGGTGGTCTATGGAGAGGATGTCGAGCTTCTAACCAGATTCAGTGGAGTACAACTCCAACAGGCTAGCGAAAAGGTTGTACATCTTTAACAAAACAAAAAGAAAAAAAAAAGTAAAATCTATTAAACATTGACGAAGGCTTCATAACCTGCAAATGTTTAAATATTGTTAGTAGTTTTTCTTTTCATTCATTACTGTGGAGCATATATTGCAATATTTGGTTCTTTGCCACAACCCCAACAACTTGCAGTCTATTGTACTTAAAAACACTACAGTTAAATCTATTCTTCTTGGATTCTAATTACATGTCATGTGTTGCATATGTAAGTGCTACGATTCATTTAATGCATGTTTCTCCAATTGTCGATCCTTTCATCTTCATATATATGCAGTGTGAAAATATACTGGAGAAAATTGATGCAAACATGAGGGACAAGCACATTGTTTGCTTTGTGAGAATGCTCAATGTGAATGGACCAAGTTACTCGGTGGCCAAACTCTAAAAGGATGAAGATCAGGAGGATGAAGAAGCTTCTGTTGAAGATAGAAAAGAAACTGAAGCTTCACTGTCTGGAGATAATGTAGTTCTACCTTATTATACTAATAATAATTACTTACTTTTTCCTAAAACTAATGCCATCTGCTAATTAGTGAGTAATTTTTATGAGCTCTGTACATGATATAGCTTTCAGTCAAGTGAACAACTATGTATATTTAGAGATAGTATAGTTGAAGATGTTTGTTGTTTAGATTTCACTCATGGCTTTATATTGAAAAGTGAAATTAGATGTTTACATGACATTTATGAAACCAGATACAAAAGGGTGAAGGATTTTTATGTAATGCTAAACACTTTGCTGCTTATTTATGCTTCATTTGCTAATTGGTAATTGATTGTTAGGCTGTGTATTTTAGGTTTCAATTTTTATGGTATTTTAACGTTGTATTTTTTAATTGCTATTTATTTATAA